GAGAGAGAATATACAAGCCGATGAGAGGCAGGTTGTGTTCTCGCGCAACCTGATATGCCATTTGGAGGCCGCGATTGTCATGTAGTCGAAGATCTGTTTTGAACCAGTGAACGACGGCTGTCTTGGGCTCAATCTTCTGACGTTCATCGAACGTGTCTTCGTATGCCCTCTGTAGGGATTCGATGGGTCGTTCCAGCGTTCCGTTATTGTAAGCTTCGCACCGCTCGTTGCACATCTCAGGGGGATAGAAGTCACGCAGGACGATGCCAAAGTCTTCTGTATCTTTGGCATGGGGATGTGGACGCGTAAGATCGGGCTTTCCGCGTTTATTTGTGTCTGATGAGGCACCATTAATGGCAGAAGCGCTTGATGACTTGCGCTTTTTTGGAGGCATGTCGCTAATCAGCGCTTTGAAGGCGCGTTGCAGAGATACTGTCCTGTAGGTGAGGTATTGTTGGGTATTGACAAGTGACCGGACGCGCAAACTCCGGAAAATCATAGCGCGCTTGATTTTCGCAGAGCAATGGGAAAGGCTGGGTTTCGTTGAGCTCTGGGGTCAGATCGATCGAGGATCTGGACCGCGCCAGGGACGCTGACGTCAATACCCGGGAGGTTATCTCAACCAAACAACATCCCTGCGCTGGGACCTGTTCTAGGTGTTGCTGACAATGCTTTGAATAGTATAGGCTAACTTTTACCTATTCTTGCAAGGAGTCTGTTAGGTATGGACTTTGGACTGAAAGAGTCTTTGCGCGACATGGTCTATTCTATTGCTGGTTATAATATTCCTAGACAGAGGAGCAGTCATGCACTAGCCTGCGCGTTTCAACATCTCATTTAGGCAAACAAGCAGGTGACCGCACGCTCGTATATCATTCATCTTTCAACAGGACATGGGTGGATCTGTAAAAGGGGGTCTGGCTTGTTCAATAAAGTGAGCAAGTCGTCGGTAGTTCGTCTGGAAACGGGAGTGTTTGGACAGAAGCCGAGTCATTGCCCCACTCCAAGCTATAATAACGATGCTCATACTAGGTCATTCAGTATCTCTGTATAGAAGGAGATATTGTATTACCTTTCAAGGGATTTCTGCGACTAAGTGGCTCAAGGTCCTTATGCAGCGATGCAAGTATTGGGAACAACTTGACCTCTAAGGTAATTGGTGGGTTCGCATTTTCATGAAACTGGTCTGTGAATCTCATAACCTTGCCTTTGGTGTCTATAGCAGTTCATAGACGGGGTGTTGAGTTCTAGTAGTATTTCCTGCCGATACAAGGGCATCTCGAGGAGAATGCAAATATGAACGGTTCAAGTGTAGAAAAGGCTTCTTCATTGATAACTAAGAAGCTTCACTCCGACAGGAAAGTGAAAATGGCATTGCATAGTGCCATGTGTCATATGTCATTGGATAGATAGTATTGGGAGAGGCACCGAAGTATACGGAGGACCTTTGCAATCTGTGGGAACTACCGGAAGAGGCAGGCAGGAGAAGGCAAGTGTGGTGATTGGTGCCTGAGGCCACCAGGCAGCAGGTGTTGTGACTTTTTGATTTTCCGTGAGTTTCCCCCGCCAAGCACGGCGAAATGAAGAATTTATCCAAAGAGTGGATGACTCCTTTCTGAGCAGCAGTCAACAAGTCATTGGTGATGATGTTCTAACTAATTAATTAGTGCAATCTTGCACCACTATCTTACGTGACATCTACTGTACAATCAAATACGAATACATGTCTTGATTGTGCTGCCCTTGATGCACGCCCTGCCAATGGCAAGACGGTTTGGAATCTGATGGAAAGAGGCTGAATGAGGGAGACTCTGAGCTATCCCCCCCAAAGCGGACCACGTCAACCAAATTAAAAAAGCATCCGTGGCATCTTCTTGCCTTGCACTTTCTACTCCACAGCTGGTGTTTGACAAGCCAGTGAATACAAATCACTGTATATCCAGCAGCTGCATTATTTGCATTCGGCCCAGTATTTGTCTCGCTTGCACTTGTGCCTGTGACTACTAGCACGTAGATGGCTGCGCTATTCCTCTTCTGCTTGGGCCTGTTCTGGCTTTAACTCCGATCATTATCTCCGAACACCCAATCGTTATCTCCGAAGGATATTATTCACAGCAGTCATACCTGCCATGTCAATGTTCAGGCCCCCTGGTGAGGTGTCATCCTCAGATTCGTCTTCGGACGCGTCCTCGGACGAAAGTCAACATGATATCTCTACGAAAGATTGCGTGCCCGCCCAAGGTACACAGCAGAATAAGGAAAATGGCATTGATGAATCTCGCCTTCTGCAGGACAATGCCCATCGAGACCATGAGGCTGATTCCGTCAAGGTGCTGGAGGGTGATACAAAGGGCCATTCAAACATGATGACGGCTGCCCTTCTCGAATTCTACTGCCTTACCCGGGCGGCAGATATCCTAAACAAACAGGCGGGCGCCAATGGACAGTACACGCGTGACTCGCCTGAAGTGCGATATCTCGGGAACCAGTTGTACACTCACAAGTCTGCATTCCTATCCTCAGTAGGCGCGGTTTCTCAGGGTATTGAAGGAGATGAATGGGGGGCAACGAGACAATATTATCGCGACAACCTTGATATGTTGGGCATGTCTATGCTAGACAAACTCAAACTTGACGACGTCGGTGGACAGCCATCTGGAATCATAGCAGCAAACGATGCAGGCCCGGGCTTAGAGCAAAGTAAAGCTCTTCAGCCGTGGCCGACTAGTCCAAGTTTGAACATGATACACCCCGGACCTAGTGGTGTTGGACTGCCAGCCGGCCGAAAGCAATTACTTGGCCATGAAAACGTCCCTGCCTCACGAAACTTTCCATTCAACCTTACAGCTTTGCTTAATTCGCCAACACATCTTCCAGGAAGCTCGACAGTTGGCTTGCCTCTGCTTCAGCCCAAATCACAACCGCCAAGCAGTCATTTGTCACGTTACACTATGGAGTTTTCTGAGGTCAAAGTTCTGGGCCGTGGCTCCTTTGGCGAAGTATACCACGTCAAGAATCACATAGACGACCAGGACTACGCAATCAAGAAGATTCCTCTCAGCCAGCGACGACTTCAGCAGCTACAATGTGGCAGTCAGAATCAGCTGGAAAAAATCATGAAGGAGATTAGAACACTCGCTCGACTCGAGCATACCAATGTCGTTCGATACTATGGCGCCTGGGTGGAACGATCTCCCATTTCCGGTTACGCTACTTCGCTGCACGAGGAGTCTGAAGACATCAACTCTGCGCAGATTCAAAGCCGCACTTATAGCATGGGATTGACAGACAGTAAAAGCTTCGGGATCGTTTTCGAACAATCAGAAACTTCGGATGTATCACAGCATTCATTACAATTGGATCCTGAGTCAAAGGGCTCCAGTGCGTATCATCGCCGTCAGAGCCACTCCAGTGTGGGCACCCACACATCAAAGGCATCCACTACACATGGCACCGGGGAAGATGATGAGGTAGAGACCATCCCGCGCAACTTCAGCCTCGCCTCGCAAGACCCGCTGTCTACCTTTGGTGGCACTGATGATGATATTTTCACGGATGGCCTCAGCGAAGATCCATCCAAGCTACAAATTCAGCGCCGATACCGAAGCGCAGCTCAGCTGCCCGCTGTTGTTCTGCATATACAAATGTCGTTACACCCGATCTCGCTGAGCTCTTACCTCAACCCACAGCCAAGCACAAATACGGAGCACGACAAAACGCTCCCACGGCGCCACTGCTATCATCTGGTGCCTTCTGTAAAGCTCATGCTGGACATAATATCCGGTGTTGATTATCTGCATTCCAAGGACATTGTGCACCGCGATCTGAAGCCAGCTAATATCTTCCTTTGTGCTCCGGACAAGAAGCAATTGGATGGATGTTCTCCCTGTGCAAGCGCGCATGGACCGATCTATAGATATTGCCATCCTCGTATCGGTGATTTCGGTCTCGTCGCAGACATCTCGCACATCAACGATCGCCCCCCAGATGGTTCTTCGACACAGCCACAAGACGCAGAGATCCACACCGTCGTTGGAACCGAATTCTACCGCCCCCCTTTCCACGCCAGCAAGGCAGGGATGGCAGAACGGCCACGCCAGCATGGCAAACCAGCATCCCTATACGTCATTGACGAGACCCTTGACGTATACGCGCTGGGTGTTATTTTGTTTGAACTGGTTTATCCACTCAATACTAAGATGGAGCGCCAGCTCGTTCTCACCGGGCTCACCCGAGGACCACCCGGGCAAACTTCAACCGGACCTATCTTCCCCGAAGACTTCTCACACAAGCTTCACATGGGCTCCATGACCCTTGCGGGTGGAACGTCAGTAGCTGAGTATGTAATGACGTGCATAAAAGGCATGCTTGAGCCAGATCCGCAACAGCGCTGGCGCTCCCCGCAGATCAAGAAGTATTTGGAGAAGCTTCTTTCCCAGGTGCAGGGCCTAAGCTAGACTACGTAGTGGTCTGTAGCGTGACTTCCGAGGGTTGGAATGTGTCAAGGTAGAGAAGTAATCGATGGATCGATTGATTGGGATTGGCGACGTGCACATGGTCAAGAACATACTGGAGAATTGGAAATGGGTGACGATGAGTGTGGGCAAGGAAAAGGGATCATGTAAATTATCTAGAGGTAAGCATAGCGATGTGCCGAATTCGATTGATAGCATTCCCTGCATGTTGTTACACACCATTGAATGTTGCGGGACTATTCTGTACAACGTAGACAGCGGCGAACTCCCCGACCGCCGCAACCAGCAGGGCCTCGGCGATGCTCCGACCAGCCCGAGCCCCTTCTCCACCGCCGCCAATTTGCGGGGGTGCAAACCGAGCAGTTACATCTCTTCAATTCATGACTGTGTGGCTACTGCGTCACCCCGCAACGATGATATGCCGAAGCACGCGGGCGATCAGTTCCCCGACCGCGGGCGCTTTCCGTCCATACAACGGCGGTATATATCTCAGCCAAATTCATACCTTCGCCCATTCAATCCCTTGCGCGTATCTTCCTTGTGCATAACCTTCTACCCCAGGCATCTCCAATTTCCATTAACGGCCATTGTTTAAGTGGTGAACATAGCACAATATCGGCTCAACTGCAGGCTTCCATAGCATCCTACTAGCTCCATCGGACAGGATGGCGAGGCAGAGGCAGTTGTCTGCACAGCAGATTTCTGAGCACAAGACGCCCGACAACTGCTGGATTGTGGTAGACAACCAGGTGTGGGATGTGACGGATTTCCTGGAAGAGCATCCGGGAGGATCGTCAAGTAAGATCTCAGCGTCAAGGTTTACGACAACTAGAAATCGAGACTGACACGTCAACTCAAGTTATCCTGAAGTACGCCGGACGCGATGCCACCAAAGCATACTCTGAAGTTCATGCTCCCAGTGTCATCAAGACACACCTATCACCAGAGCGAAATATGGGAGTGCTGGATGAAGCGACAATCAATGAGGACTGGTTGAAGCAACCGCCCACTCAGAACCCGCCCTTGCTTCTGGAGCAGGAAAAGCCACCGCTAGACACCCTGATAAACTCCCATGATTTCGAACTAGTCGCATCGAAAACTGCCAGTAAGAAGACATGGGCGTTCTATTCCAGTGCTTCAACAGACCTGATTACGAGGGATGCGAACAAGCTGTGCTTCGACCGTATATGGCTCCGACCGAGAATCCTAAAGAATGTGCGATCAGTCGACACGAAGACCAAGCTGCTTGGCGTCAATACCGAGCTTCCGCTCTTCGTTAGCCCGGCAGCAATGGCGAAGCTCATCCATCCAGACGGCGAGTTGGGAATTGCAAAAGCTTGTGAGAACAAAGGCATCTTTCAAGGGGTATGCTCGTAATTCTTCCCCTGAATAATGCCATCATTTGCTTTTTCATACTGAACTCCTATACAGGTCTCCAATAACTCTTCCTATCCCCTAGATGAGCTGCGTAGTGCTGCACCATCAGTAAATATGTTCTTTCAGCTGTACGTGAACCGCGACCGTGCAAAGTCCGCTGCTCTCCTTCGCCAATGCTCCGCCAATCCCAACGTCAAAGCTATCTTCATTACGGTGGATGCCGCCTGGCCTGGGAAGCGGGAGGCAGATGAGCGTGTAAAAGCCGACGAAACACTATCGGTCCCGATGGCGCCATCCAAAGCAAAGAATGACAAGAAAGGTGGCGGTCTGGGACGAGTAATGGCAGGTTTCATTGATGCCGGACTGACCTGGGAGGATTTGGCGTGGGTGCGGCAGCATACACATTTGCCCGTATGCCTGAAAGGTGTGATGTCCGCTGATGATGCGATTCTTGCTATGGAAGCCGGCCTCGACGGTATCTTGTTGAGCAACCATGGCGGGCGAAATCTCGATACCAGCCCACCTTCCATTGTCACTCTTTTGGAGCTACACAAGCGGTGCCCGGAGATATTCAATCGGATGGAGATCTACGTCGATGGTGGTATTCGGCGGGGAACCGACATTCTTAAAGCAGTGTGTCTGGGCGCAACAGCGGTTGGAATGGGACGCAGCATGCTGTTTGCAACTAACTATGGCCAGGAGGGTGTGGAGCATTTGATTGACAGTAAGTGTGCTCTTTATCCAGCTTCCTTTCCCTACACTTGGCCAATTTCTGCTTGCTAACAACTCTTACCACCAGTCATGAGAGACGAGCTCGAGACAGCTATGCGCAATGTAGGAATTACTAGCCTCGACGAGGCTGGTCCCCACCTAGTCAACACAGGAGATATAGATCACCTGGTCCCCAGCTCAGCCACCCATCCATACGCACGAATGGTAGCCAAAGGACGACGTCCAATCGGACCAAAGCTATGATATGAATAATGAGAGAGTTAGCCATAAGGTCTTAGACAGTTTGGTAAATACAGAAACGTATCCTCACCGCTTAGATAGTCGCAGAATATCCTCATCTCAAGACACGGACGTGAGGATCTCTGATTGGGTAGACTTAAGACTCCCTGAGCACCATTCTGCGTATCATTACGAAACAAGCTAAACAATTGCATGGATTTCAAGTGGTACTGACATAGAAGGGCTAAGTTCATTGCCAGTAGTACCTGAAATGTCGGCAATTACACAAGTTGCGGGATGAAGTCAAATCCTTAGCAGGAACCGCTTATACCTAGCAAGCACCGTTTATGAAGCTTTGTGAATCATCTTTAGACTTGGAGAACCACTCCCCCACAACTGACTCGACACACGCAAAGAGACGACTGGAGATCAAGAGAACCGGTGGAGCCGGGTCCGTTTTTGGGATCATCGACTTCCTGTCATCTCGCTTAGCCGCTGGCGTGTTTCTACCTGGCGCCAAACCCCAATCTATCTCCGGCATTTGACATCGACAGTTCAACTTCACTCATCCATTCATTCAATCTAGCTCTCAGCGCATCTCAAGCCCGTATGAGGGATCCGCCTTGAATGCACGATGACTCGATCGACGAGTACATGATTCTTCATGGTTCTGCCAAGTCTGCAGCCACCATGACTTCTGAAACAGCGAATCTCCGAGCAACGCCATCGAGCTGCCTCGTCCATAGATCCTTTCATCAAACTGGAACTGATCTGGAGATGACGGAAGCTTCGCTTAGCTTGATCGTTACTCAAGAAATCTGGCAGAGCTGATCATCCGAGAAATGTTAAATAGCATAATCCGCCCTCGAAATGATTCTTACCTGCAAGCAGATCGATCTCTTCCGACTCGCCAGTCTTTCATTCTTTTTACATCTGAACTTCATTGATTGAAGTTCTTCCATTCTTTTGTCATTCTTTAGATATTCCGCTGTGCGTGAATCAGTACAAAATGCCTCTTTCTAAGGTTGCGGGAGTCCTGCTGGCCTCAGCTTCCCTTGTGGCTGGACATGGCTATGTGTCGAGCATCGAGGTGGACGGTACTACTTACGGTGGTTACCTGGTTGACACCTACTACTACGAGTCCGATCCCCCGGAGCTGATTGCCTGGTCTACGAATGCCACGGATGATGGCTATGTCTCTCCCACCCAATACGAGAGCTCCAACATCGTCTGCCACCGTGGCTCCGCTCCTGGTGCACTTGAGGCTCCGGTCGCACCGGGTGGAACCGTCAAGATGACCTGGAACACTTGGCCCGATGACCACCATGGGCCAGTGATCACCTACCTGGCCAACTGCAATGGCTCTTGCGCTGACGTCGATAAGACTGCTCTGCAGTTTTTCAAGATCGATGCAGGTGGCCTGATCGATGATTCCGAGATCCCCGGCACCTGGGCTACCGATAAGCTTATTGACAACAACTACACCCGCAGCATTACCATCCCGTCTGATATCGAGGCTGGAAGCTATGTTCTTCGCCACGAGATTATTGCCCTGCACGGTGCTGAGGACTTGGATGGCGCCCAGAACTACCCCCAATGCATCAACCTGAACGTCACCGGAAGCGGCACTGCCACCCCGAGTGGAACCCTGGGAACTGCCTTGTACAAAGACACCGACCCCGGCATCTACATCGACATCTGGCAGAGCATCAGCAGTTATACAATCCCCGGCCCAACCCTCTACACCGCTGGCAGCACTGCCACCGCGGCTGCTGATGCGACTACCACTGCTGCTGCTGATGCGACTATCACTGCTGCTGCTACTAGCGCTTCAGCGACCGAAGCCGCTGTCGTGACCTCCGCTGCTGCATCCTATGCTGGATCCCAAACGACTATGCTCACGTCTTCTCGTCCTCAGCCCACTGGTAGCTCCGGCAGCTCCTCTGGTATTGGTAGCTCTGGTAGCACCAACAGCCAGCCCGGCAGTGGCTCAATGGCTGGTGGCCAGTTCGGTCAAACCCAGCCTGGCATGGCAGGACCCGGCAACGCCAGCCCCTCCGACTCGGCCTCTACCCCTACCAGCTCCACTCCCAGCGCTGCTTCCAGCTCCGCATCCTCAGCTACCTCGGGTGTCATGAGTGGCTCTTGTAGCCAGGAAGACTACTGGTATTGCAATGGCGGCACTGCGTTCCAGCGTTGTGTCAATGGCGAGTGGGATGCATCCCAGAGCATGGCTGCCGGCACTGAGTGCACTCCTGGCATCTCGGAGACGCTGACCATTTCTGCGTCTTCGAAGCGTCGCAACGTTAGTGGCCTGCGCCGTCGTCGCTTGTAAGAGAGATAGAGATTGCGGGTAATCGTGCTGTGAGTGGTGTGTGAAGGATCTGCGGCATACGTGGCCTGCATCTCTGTTCTCTTCATGTGTATTATTTAATTACCTTGACCAGCTCTAGAAGCTTTGATAGCGAAAGACATGGAGTCAAATATAACGCGTGTAACGCAAAAACTCATTTCCATTGCGTGACATTTCAAGCTTATCGTAGTAATATCTCAGATACTTAGACCCTTGGCTCGTTGATCTATACTGAATACCGGTACTAGTGATTAGGCTTTTTAAATCTCACCTTGATTTAGTGATTTCCCATCATACACTAACATCCAGTGGGCGCTACGGTGAGTATGCTTTCTGTATTGATATCCTCAACTGCTACAGAAGGCATCGTGGCTGCACCGTACCTGGATAGGATGAGATAATAGTATGAGAAAGGCACTGGAAACTAGAAAATGGTGATCAAAAGTGCCAGACTTAGATACGTATCCATTTCATGCGTAGAAGCTTTACAATACCCTGGACACGGCCCTGATGCTCGGTTTATTTCGCTATGCTGTTCTGCGGATGCAAAGGCCGAGTTCCAAGAGAGAAACATCCTTTGATAGTGGAAACCATCTTTCCTTTCCCGAGTATTCGTCACATCTTCTCTTATGGTTAATGCTTCCGGGCTGAGCTGATGAAGACATATACCCTTTCAATCCAGCAGTTAGTCTTGTTCATAGGGATCTAAACTCCACAAATCACATCGACCATCATCTCGGGATCTGCGATATAGTGGCGACATATCAGCCCTCAGCTGAATCTGAAGTCGGCGATGTACACAGTGTATACTCGTTGAAGTAAACCGATGACCATGAATCTAGAAAAAGAAACTATACTGACCGTCTATAAAAGACAGTACACAATCCACGAAGGGCTGAGCAGTCCATCACTCAACACGTCTTCTCTTTATAAAACCTTCGTCCTTAATCATCTACCACAATTGGGGCCCCGAAAGCCTATTCATTTTACAAAAGCAAGCAACATGAAACTCTCAACCATCCTTTCAGCCGCTACCCTCTTTACTGCCTTCGTGGCAGCCACTCCTACTCCTGCGAAAGAAGCCGTCGGAAAGAACCAGGCCTGGCTAAGGGCATTGTCTAAGCGATGTAGTTATTGTCCTATGCAGAAGTTTACTAAGATATACAAATGCGTTAACATTAAATCAATGCTTGGAATTAATTCTTCTGGATACGTTGGATGCTAAGAAGCGAGTCAGTTTCTGACCGAGACAGGAGACAGTCCGGGTGGCACGGATATGAATGTCCTCGGCGGTAACTGAAGTAGGGCTGTGAGGTAAAAGGACCGACCCAGGGAGAGCGTTGAAGATTTTCTCTCCATCATGACAAGTACACAATGCCATGAAACCCAGTAAAACCTCTACCGTTACTTTGAGTATTTGTTAGCTGGACTCCGCTAGTGCATGAGCCTAGTTACACACACGCCCTGGGATCCGCTGGAATCAGAAAGACATATATGATGGTACCTTTGCCACATTCTCATTCAATTAACTTGTATGACCCATAGATATTCCATATTAAATAAAGCAAACGGCATATTCTTAAGGTCAAAGTATAGAAAGCGCTTGTGCTAACCCCAGAAGTACAAAAGCGACATCCCACCCACGGTAAGACAGTTCGAATCTCGGGGTAGGTTCCAATTCTTTACTTAACTGATCTTCCTGAAATTCCCGTTTTAACACCATCTTCCCATCCAATTTATTCAGCTAACTATCGATATATCGAGGTCCATGTACTCCTTGCCTGTCACTGGAATTGTGGTTGTCGAAAATTCAAGAACCTTGCACCCCCTATCTTTCTTCCATTGCTACTCCACGAAATTGCGTTAGTCGTCGCAGAAATTAATTCTTCTACCATACATATCCCATAGCGTCTCTGCCTCTCTTTACAGGGCCCGAAAATCATGGGTTTTTCGACAAGTTGCGAGTCTCAACTATCTTATTTACTCAGCTAGCACAGGTAATGCTCAAAAACACTTTAATGCATGTGACTATGTCGTCGTGCCTCGCAATCCATAGTAAGCTAGGCAATGTGATAGGTAATATCCTGCAGGTACAGTGGCTGGCTGATCGGTGGCGGTGTCGGAACACACGTAATTTTTAGCAGGGTGAAGGAGAGACTCAGCGGCTAAGAGGAGCAGTGCAATTTCTACCCACCCCATTGATTATCTTTGTTTTTAGGCTCAAGGTCCTGGTCTTGTAAGTCTCTTGACGACCGTTTCTCGGATGACACTATTTTTCAGACTATTGAATTCTATTAAAGTATGATCCTGCAAAGTCGGCGAAATGTTTGGAAACAATTAACGGTGAGACTATCTGACTACTTGAACAATATTGCCTTGTCGCATCAACTAACTGCAGCTAAATTGCAGTGAAACCCTTCTACAAAGTAGATGATAGACTTGTTACGCCGAATCCGATCTAGTTGCAGCAAATTATAGAGAGGCAGGTGCAGCATGCAAGGGCCTGAGGAGGCTGAAACCGGTGTCCACCTGGACGGTTGCCTCCATGAGTCCATGCTCCAGGACCGTGTGTAGTGACTTGATTACAATCTGGTCAGCCTTTTCATGCTCTAAAATCTTGTTTCCATTTCAGGCAATGTTAGTAAAGGCGCTCCTGAGGTCGCCGTGCTACACGGATGCT